AATAAATAAATAAATAAATAAATAAATAAACAAGCAAACTTTTGGCGGATGAAAACAGAAGTGTAGGATAAAAACAGAAACTAAAAAAGAAATAGTTGAAGAGATAATGGCTGAAGTCATTGCAAAATTTAAAAAATAAAATACAGATCAAACAAACTCAAAGTTTTAACTTTGATGAAATTCAATACTATTTTAAATTGAGTTCTTTAGTTATATGAGGCACATTTTAAGTGCTCAGTAGAAAGTGACCAGGGGTCACCACAGTGGACAGTATAGATCTACAGCATTTATATCATTGCAGAAATTTCTACCGCCTAGTTTACAATACCTACATTTAACTTTTTAAAAAAAGATTGTATGTGCATGTATGTGTTCCTGAGTGTATGTTTATCACCACTAGTATACAGTACCTGTAGACACCAAATCTGCAAGTGAGTGGCTCACAATACAATTTGGGTGCTGGGACCCTAACTGCAGTCCTCTGTAAGACCAACAAGTGCCTTAACTGCTGAGCCATCTCTAGCTATATATTTAACTCCTGATATCATTGTCAGGCTATTTTCTAATTTTTCTATTTTTCATTATTTTTCTTTTCCTACCTTTCTTTCATTAAGCATTGGATTTTCCCATTTTCATTTATGTGGGGATGGCACACGGTGTGTGTGTGTGTGTGTGTGTGTGTGTGTGTGTGTGTGCGCGCGCGCGCGCTTGCGCGTGCGCGCATACGCGTGCGTGTGGGTGGGCGTGCGTGCGTACATGTCTGCACGAATATATGGAGGAGATTAAAAATCACCCACTAGAATGAGTCCACCACAAGATCCAGCAATCCCTCTCTTGGGCATATACCCAAAAGATGCACATTCATATGACAAGGACATCTGCTCAACGATGTTTATAGCAGGATTGTTTCTAATAGCCAGAACGTGGAAGCTAGATGTCCCTCAACTGAAGAATGGATAAAGAAAATGTGGTACATTTACACAATGGAGTACTACTCAGTAGAAAAACCAATGAATTTTGAAATTCACAGGCAAATGGATGGAACTAGAAGAAATTATCCTGAGTGAGGTAACCCAGTCACAAAAAGATAAACATGGTATGTGCTCACATATGAATTTTAGACATAAATCAAAGGATTACCAACCTACAATCCACACTGCCAGAGAAGCTAGGAAACAAGGAGGACCTTAAGAGAGACATACATGGTCCCCTGGAGAAGGGGAAAGGGACAAGATCTCCTGAGCAAATTGGGAGCATGGGGGGAGGGGAGAGGGAGTTAGGAGAAAGAGAAAGGGAGAAGAGGAGGGGAGAGGACAGGAGGGAACAGGAAGATTGAGTCAGGGGAAGAATAGAGGAGAGCAAGAAAAGAGATACATATTAGGGAGCCATTATAGGTTTAAACAGAAATCTGGTACTAGGGAAATGTCCAGAGACCTACAAGGATGACCCTAACTAACAATCTAAGCAATAGTGGAGAGGCCACCTTAAATGCCCTTCCCCAGTAATGAGATTGATGACTACCTTATATGCCATCCAGTAGCTGATGGAAGCAGAAGCAGACACCCACAGCTTTAAACACTGACCCAAACTCCTGGAATCCAGTTGCAGAGAGGGAGGAGTGATGAGCAAAGGGGTCAAGACCAGGCTGGAGAAACCCACAGAAACAGCTGACCTGAACAAGAGGGAGCTCATGGACCCCAGACGGATAGCTGGAAAACCAACATAGAACCTATCCAGACCCCCTGAACATGGGTGTCAGTTAGGAGGCCTGGGCAATCTTTGGGGCCTCTGGCAGTGGATCAGTATTTATCCCTAGTTTATGAAAGGACTTTGGGAGCCCATTCCATATAGAGGGATGCTCCCTCAGCCTAGACACACAGGAGAGGGCCTATGCCCTGCTCCAAAGGATATAACAGACTTTGAAAAATCCCACATGGAAGGCCTCACCCTCCCTGGGGAGCAGAAAGGGGATGGGATAGGGGGTTGGTGGCGGGTAGGGGAGGAGAGAGAACTGGGATTGACATATAAAACAAGATTGTTTCTCATTTAAATAGGAAAAAGAAAAAAATTCACCCACTATTGCTCTTCCACCTTATTCAATGAGACAGGGTCTCTCAATCAATTCCAGAGCTTGCCAATATGGTTAGTCCCATCAGCTTGTTCAGGGATTCCTTATCTCTGCCTTCTGAGACTGGAATTACAAGTGAGTTACCATACCCACCTGCATTTATGTGGTATCTGGGAGTCCTAACTCTAGGCTTCATGCTCTTGAAGCAAGCTCTTTTAACTGCTGAGCCAGCTTCCTTGTTCTAATTGCAATTTTTATGAGCCCATTGTTTTCTCTGGTATTGGTTGTATAGCTTATTATTCCTGTTTTGCTTTTGTTATTTTTAGTAGCTCTTCTTGACTGTATAACACACTACTGCAATCACAATGTGCAGATGTTACAATAGCAAACTTTCTTCTCCTTCCTGTCCTTTTACTGCTACTCTGAGGCCACTAAGATGGCTTAGAGGATAAAGGTGTCTGTGTCAAGGGTGATGATCTGAATTCAGACCCATGTAGTAGTAGTAGTAGTAGAAGAGAACTGACTCCCCAACCTCTCCATGGGCACCACTCTCTTGCTCTCTCTCAACAAGTAAGTAAATACTTTTTAACCCAAAACATTTTAATTTTCTAGGTAATAAACCCAAGAATGCACTGTTATTATTCATGAGCATTTCCATGATCTCATAAATGTAGCTTTTATAACAAATTCACTAGAAAGTGTAAAACTCTTTAACAGAGGTGGCATTATTTTAAATACTTAATCTTTACTGATGTTAAAGATCCTAAGGAAAGATGAAAATGGTAGTTCTGGCTGTTGGTAATTCACCCAAAGATTTTCTAACTCAACATCTGTGTTACATGTAATTTTCTGCATCATAAAATATAATATTCTTGGGGCAAAAGGATAATATCTCAGTGAGTAAAGTGTTGCCATGTGAGCATGGGGATCTAAATTCAATCACTAGAACCCATGTCAAAATCCAGATGTGGTCCTACCTGCTAGTAACCTTCTGTGGAGGTGATGACAGGTACAACCCAGATGTGGTCCTACCTGATAGTAACCCCCTGTGGAGGTGATGACAGGTGAGCCTGACCAGTGAGTCCCAAGTGCCAATGAGCTATCTTGTCACAAAACCAAAGTAGACGGCTCCTGAAGAATAGCACCCAAAGCTGACCTCTGGCCTCCACACACACATATACATATATGTGCACATGCAGGAGCAAACATATGTACACAGACAAGATCCCCCTAAAATGTGCACCTATCTTATCTCCTCATGCTTTAACTTTTAGTGTATAGCACAATTATTTAATAAATGTGTTACCTCAAGGGGAGTTTTAGATTTTCCCATTTTGTAAATGTCACATTTGGAGGTTGCAGGACTTTAAGAGAACACAACTAAATTTTATTTATCCTTAAGAGCTACCCAATACTGGGTAATTAAATCACCTGCCATTTTTACTTTAGGTCTACCAAGTAGCCTCAGTAATAATATGTACTGTGCATCATCTTTAAGGTGTTGGTTTTGAGGACACATAAAGGTTTTATTATGTGTTTCCTATTTCTAGTCTCTGCTGCTGGAGTCTTTGATTTTAATCACTTGTCCTCCTTATGGGCATTATTTTCTTTTCATACTGTTTTCTCTTGTTAAGAACCACAATTTCTGAATCAGTCTTCTTTTCAATACTTTACACTGAAAAACCAAACTAAAAAAAAATTATTTCCTCCATCTAGCTCATCTGTGTCTGGACTTTGCAAGTATATACCTCATTTGCACCCATGAGAGACTATCTCCAATATTCACAAAAGCCAGGCTCTCAAGTTCACTTCCCAAAAGAATACATACACTATGACTTTTGAGTCACTGTCCATTCCTATATTATACCTACTGACAATATGTTTCGTGTCAGTTCTCATAAATGTAGTTTCAATATAGATAAAAGGCAATGACTAAATCTACTATTTTTATGGGAAGGTGCTGAATTCATATTTTTACTGGCCTATTATTCCCCAATTCAAAGAAACAAGCAGTAAGATAAAATAGCCACTTCAGCTATAGCTACCAAAGATAGTCTCACAAAGACAACTGTTGCATTTCAGTCCTAACTTCAATAATTTAGCAAATACACTGAAAAGTCAATATACTAAATAAAACTTAATTTAGTATTATTACAATTAAGAAAGCTACACAGAGAAACCCTGGTTCGAAAAACCAAAAAAAGAAAAAGAAAGAAAGAAAAAAAGAAATAGGATTAAGTTCTATAAAGTAAAAACCTAAGAATGTTAGAATGTCAATTAAATAAAAATGACAACAAAGCCTGACACACCAGGTCCTCACTATGAAAAGGGCTTCTGATGCTTACCCAAGTCTTCCTAACATCTCTAGCTCAGGAACTTGTGGTCCACAGGTCTCTATCTGCAGGGGCTGGTATTCATAGAGAGCTTCTTCAAGCTTTTGGATTGGTGCTAATGAAATCTGTTGACCCTAGAGAGAAATGAAGGAGACATATTTTAACAATATTTTCATATTGGTATTTGTAGTAATTTTAAAGATGTAATAAATTTCTTTTATTAAAAAGAACAGCCAGCTGGGCAGTGGTGGCACATGCCTTTAATCCCAGCACTCGGGAGACAAAGTCAGGCAGATCTCTGTTAGTTGGAGACCAGCCTGGTCTACAGAGTGGCTCTAGGACAGGCTCCAAAGCTATACAGAGAAACCCTGTCTCAAAAAAACAGCTGGAGAGATGCTGGGCAGTGAAGATCACTTGCAGCTCTGGTAGAGGACCCAAGTTAAGTTCCCAGCACCCATGATGGACAGCTCATAACTAGCTGTAACCCGACCGCCAGAGGATCAAGTGCCCTCTGCTGGTCTTTGAAGGCACCGCACTTACATGCACATTCCAACACACTGACCCACATATACAGATAATTTAAAATATAAAGTAAAATCTTAAAAAAAATAGCTATTAGGTTTATTATTCTACAAGTATAATGTATTACCATCACAAACCACATTCTATAATTAATATTCAGTCACACAATTTATGAGGGAAAATGAAATTTTAATGAAGAAAAAGAAATTTAATGAAATCTACCACTAAATGCATATTTTGCCTTAATCAGTACTATTGTTTAGTATCAATAGAACTAAACAAAATATAAGCATACTCCAACCTTAAATTTTCCAATTTTTGTAAAATACTTTCACAGATTTGGCAATCAATAGTTTGTTTGTTTGTTTTTTAAGTTATAACTATGAAAAAGGGCTAATAAAATTATTTTTGCAATGCTATGTCACATAAATATCTTCTTTACAACAGAATCAGGCTTACCAAATGAGTACTATACATACACATACAATGCACAAAAAATAATTGATGATAAAAACTAAATTCAATTGAACATCTAGGTACTTTTCTAAGAAGAAAGGAACTGAATCTAAGGATCACATCTGAATACAAGTATACAAAATAAAATGCACTCGGCCATATGAGCATGTTTATTTATGATGCACATATTTATCATATGCTTGGGAAAGGGCTCTGATTCATAAAAATCTCAATTTCTTTTTTGTTTTAGGGTTTGTTGTTGTTGTTGCTTATTTGTTTTTTGTTTTGTTTTGTTTTTTGAGACAGGGTTTCTCTGTGAAACAGTCCTGGCTGTCCTGGAACTAGCTCTGTAGACCAGGCAGGCCTTGAACTCACAGAGATCCACCTGCCTCTGCCTCCCAAGTTCTGGGATTAAAGGCGTACGCCACCACTGCCTGGCCCAAAAATCTCTATTTCTTATCAAGTGTATGATTTCTGATCTGGTAATTCTTATAATTTCTCTAACTTGTAACTTTTTACAGAGGACAATACAGAATATGTACTTTCAAGACATGAATTTTTAGCTTTATTAAGTAACTACAGTGGGAAAGTATTACTAAAAGTATTGGCAACAACATCTGAGCCACTGAAGTGATGGTATCCTATTTATTCTCTGAAGGTGACAAAGATGTCAACAATCACCTTAGAATAATTCAGTGTAGCCAACACTTTGGTACTGCAACTTGATGCTGTCATCTGGAAAGTTTGCACTCAAGATCTATGTAATCAAATTTTAAAAATCACACGCGCGCGCGCGCGCACACACACACACACACACACACACACACACACACACACACACACACACACACACACACACACACACACGTCTTGGAGTCAGGCAAGAGACTGTATTAACTCTAAACCCTTCCTGCCATATTTATACCTCTATTTAATGCTCAGTGTCAAGTTAACAGGCCAGCTCTGTCCTGTGCTGTTCTCATCCCAACTCCTTCCTCCTCTCTCTTTCCTTTCCTTCCTCCTCCTTTCCTTCCCTTCCCTTCCCTTCCCTTTCTCTCTATCCTTATCCTTTCATAGGTTTTCCCAAGGAACATAAGCTGGCCCTGATTACAGCTCACTATGTCTCAGCCGCCTGACAGATGAGACTGTTAAAAGTTATTTCCTCTCTCTCATTCAGCCTTGAGCAAGAATTCCCTCATGCTCATCCCTGTCACTACCATTATCTCTTTTCATCATTGTCTTTACCTCCTTAGTGTTTCATCAATGCAATAATAATCACTAGTCTTACTCTTTGTGATGGTAAATATTGATTGTTAACGTGGCAGACTCTAGAATAGCCAAGGAGAAAAGCCTCTAGGCAGATCTGTAAAGGATTCCAGATGATGTTAGGGGAGGTGAGGAGGCCCACTCTGAGTGTGGGCAACAGCATTCCTCGGACAATGTGAGCAGCTGCCTCCAGCTCCTCCTGCCATGGTGGACTGCAGCCTCAAACCTTGTGCGCCGAAATAAATCCTCCCATCTTCCCTAAAATTGTTCATCAGGTTTTTGTCACCACAAGACAAATAACTAAAACAAACTATTTTCATAGAGACCAGCCTGCTTCTGCCTCCTGGGTGCTAGGATTAAAGATGTGTGTGTGCCCCCAAAATATAAAGCCAGTATGACTAATAAACCAAGTAAAGATACAAGAAAGAGAAAAAAAAAAGTATAAATCAATCTCCCAGTGATTCTCCTTTGTCTCTTGGTGAAGACATACATGCAAAACTTCTCAATTAAATGCCTGCAAATCCAATAAAAAAAAAAAAAACACTTCAAGTTGGCTTCATCCCATAGACACAGGGATGATTCAGAATCTACAAACAAATAACACAGAAATCAATATAATCTCAATAGATACAGGTAAGTATTTCAACAGAATCCAAAATTCCTTCATGATAAAAGTCCTGAAGATATAAGAAATACAAAACTACATCTCAACATAATAAAGTCTGCGTATGACAAACCTATAGCCAGCATTATACTGGAGGTGGAAACTAAAGACGTTTCCACTAAAATCAGCAACAAGACAAGGGTGTCCACTTTTCCACAATCACTCAATAGCACGCTTCAAAACCTGGCTACAGCAACAAAACAGGAAAGTGAGAAGATAAAAGTATCCTTATTTGCAGATATGACTTTATGTATAACATCTGAAGGCCGTACCAGAAAACTCATAGCTCTGATATACACGTTAAAGTGGCAGGATATAAAATTAACAAACAAAAATCAGTTGCTTTTCTATATCCCAATAACATGCCAAGAAGGAAATCAGGAAAATAACATCATTCACAGTTGTTTCAGAAAGAAAGAAAGAGCTGGTCAGTTGTGGCACACACTTTTAATCCCAATACTCAGAAGGCAGAGGCAAGGCCAGTCTGGTCTACAGAGTGAGTCCTAGGATAGCCAAGGCTACACAAAGACACCCTGTATTGAAAAAAAAAAAAAAAAGATGAAGAAGGAGGAGGAGGAAAGTTTTAATGAAGAAATGAAATACAAGACTTCTACAATAAAACACTGAAGAAGGAAATTGAAGAAGACAGTAGAGAATGGAAAGACCTCCCATGATCATGAATTGGGGGCATCAATATTGTCAAAATGGCTATATTACCAAAAGCAATCCAACATATTCAACTTAATACCCATCAAAATTTTAATACCATTCAAGTTTAGTGTTAAGATTTATTTTTATCTATTAATTATGTGTGATATATGAGTCTGAATACATGTGGATGCAGATGTCCATGAAGTCCAGAAGAGGGTGTCAGATTTTCTGGAGGTGAAGTTACAGGTGATATGATGCTGGGACCTGAACTCTGGTCCTCTGCAAGAGCATTAAGTTCTCTTTATCATTGAACCAACTCTCTAGTCTCTCAATGCCATTCTTCATAGAAACAGAAAAAAAAAATCTTAAAATTCATATGGTAGCACAAAAGACTACAGGCAAAGCAACCTGAGAAAACCAAATAATGCTGAAAGTATCACAATACCTAACTAACTCCGGGTTATCAAACTACAGAGCCATGGGAACAAAACAAGCATATTGCAAGCTCAAAATCAGACACACAGATCAACAAAATACCCCATACAGTATAAACCCATACAGTTATAACCATCTAATTGTTGACAAATGTGCCAAAAATGAACAATGAATGCTAAATAACTTCCTTCACAGGGACCCTAGTATAAACCCATACAGTTATAACCATCTAATTGTTGACAAATGTGCCAATACAGTATAAACCCATACAGTTATAACCATCTAATTGTTGACAAATGTGCCAAAAATGAACAATGAATGCTAAATAACTTCCTTCACAAATCATGCTCAGAAAACTGGATATTTCCATGTACAACAAAATGAGATTCCTATCTTTTACTCTTCAGTAAAGTCAAAGAACAAGGACCTTAATGTAAGACCTGAAACTTTGAAATGGTTAAGGGAAAAAAACAGGAAAGCCCTGTAAAACATAGGCAAAGATAAGGACTGCTGAATAGGACTCCAATCACTCAAGAAATAATGCCAACAACTGGCAAATAGAACTTTGGGCAATTGAAAATCTGCTGAGTGAAAGACAGCCTGTAGAACAGAAGAAAATCCTTGCTATCGATACACTTGACAGAGGGTTAATATCCTCAGCATATAAAGAACTTAAAGCCTCAGCCAAAAAAACAAAAACAAAAAAAATCAAATAGCCAGTCCATAAATGGCAAATAAAATGAAGACACAGTTCTCAAAAGATGAAATAAAATGAATAACAAACACATGAAACACTCTTCAACCTCACTGGCCAATACAGAAATATACATTAAAACTACAGGGAGATTCTACCCCACCCATTAGGATGGCAATCATTAAGAACACAAATATACTCAGAGGTTAAAGTGTATACAGCCATTTGAGAGGACAGGAGTTTGCAGCATGCATGCCCAGCAGCTCACAACCATCTGTACTCCTACTCCAGGGATATGACTTCCTGGCCTCTTTGGGCACCTGTTTCACACAAACATACCCACATAGACACGGACACACACACACACACACACACACACACACACACACACACACAAAGAAATAACAAATACCAGCAAAGACATAGAAAAAGAGAAACCTTGTATA